GAGTTCCTCTATCTCTTTGAGGATTTCCCGGTACCCACCATGAGTTCAGTGATGGATTCTCCCTGACAATGTGTCTACAGTCAGCCAGTCAAACTCTCTGCATGTAAATCCTCTGTCCGGGAGTCAGGTGGTCATCTCCCCCAAATTAGCTTTCTGAGTGGATATAATCTCTTGCTTTGCTGCACTTCATTCGGTTTACTCATCCCTCAGGCGTGGCTGTGGAGTCCAGTCTGACTCCTGGTAACCCTGTTGCTGTGCAGAGTGGACTGCACCTGCAGGTTTCTGAGACTGTCAATCCTTACAGGATTCAAAAACCTCATCGGGCACCTGAGGAGCAGCTGGAAGTTTCTAACTGCTGACCTTGCGGTTAGCAGGCTGACATGTAACTCATGACGCTACCAGGGCTTCTCTGGTTTTCTGTTCATGCATAGTGAAAATGAGAACTCCATTTAAGGAGCCTCACAGTAAATCTCTGGCACTTCTTGCAGCCTATCACCAGTCTTTGAGGCGCAGTGTCTAACAGTGAGGTCTATGTCTGATTCTGGGGTAGCTTGGTAAGTTCTTGGGAAGGCAGGGTGTACAAGTTTACCAGGCATACTGCCTGGGGGTCTGAGGGGAGGTTGGTACAGGTGGCTGGCAGGGGAAGGGGAGACGGAATGTTCTTTCTGTCACCATCGAAGCTCTTCTTGTACTGTGTCTCAGGTCAAAAACTCACTTGTATAATACTACTAATAGCAGGCCCCTGTCCCAAGGTAGGCGCATAGAACTAGTAGCTATTAATTTTTATAGGCTAGTCTTTTATTCATGTCTGCATTTGGGTCTGAGCTAGATTAAAAGCTCCCCAAGCACTTAGTGCCTTCTTTTGTCTACATATCATTTCCCATTTTCAGCAAAAAGGCTAGCACCCTCTAGAAGAACTGCAATAAATAAGTTGCAGTTAATAAATCTCTCTTCCACCTGTCTTGGTGGGATGTGTGTGGTCTGCTCTGAAGTGGCCCTACCCATGGTCCACTAGCAGAATCTGTTGACATCTTACGGGGCCTGCTTGTGTAGCCACACTATTTTCTGGGTGGTTTCTTGCTAACAGCATACTAGAACATTTCCTGATAATGCTGTCACTCTTTCATTTATTCATCTGATAGACATGTACTTGTGTAACACATCCCCTCTGTCAGGATTTGCAGTAGGCTACAGGCGTCCATTCAGTGATTGAGGCAGACAGTAACCTTGTGCTTTATTAGGAGAGATAGACAGAGATTGAGAAGGTCTATGTAACAGACTCTTATGAAGGGCTTATTATAGATCAGGTTTTACCCACAATCACAACTTATTTAATGCTCACACTAACCCTATGAAGCAACATGATCTTTACCAACATTTTGCAGACCGGGGAAATGGGGCAGCACAGAGACACTAAGGAAAGGTCTCCCAGGTGAGCAGTGGTGAGACTGGGCTTTGGGTTCTGCTTCTGAATTAGAAGAAGAAGGAGGATTATGAGGCTGGAAGTGCAGTGTGCTGTAGGCCTACTGTGAGAGGCTCTAATGTATCAGGCTCAGGGAGTCCCTTCATAACCTGTGTCACATTCTAGAAACATGAGCTCAGCATTGATTATGAGCAGAGCCTCCTGTCTAACCATTGTAAGCAGTGCATGCGTTTAGATCAGTGGTTCTCAACCTGTGGGTCGCGACCCCTTTGGGGGGGCGGGGCGGACGACCCTTTCACGGGGGTCGCCTAAGACCATTGGAAAACACATAAATATTTCACAATATATCATTACATATTGTTTTGTGATTAATCACTATGCTTTAATTATGTTCAATTTGTAACAATGAAAATACATCCTGCATCTCAGGTATTTACATTACGATTCCTAACAGTTACAGTTATGAAGTAGCAATGAAAGTGATTTTATGGTTGGGGGTCGAAAGGGTCACGGGCCTTAGGAAGGTTGAGAACCACTGGTTGAGATGGCGAAGCGCTCAGGGCCTGTGTGCTCCAGCAGGTGGCAGTCTCCTCTCCAGTCTAGCTCCTTCCTAGCTAGCAGGGAAGAAGTTAGCAGGCTACCTGCTCATTGTGGGCAGCATGGAGGGTGCATGTCAAGGGAGTGGCGGGGATGTGACCCGCAGGGTTAGCTTCCTAGGGCACAGAGCAAGGTTGTCCAGGGCAGATCCAGGCTATTTGGAGTGAGAATGGGAATAAAGTGGAAAATAAACAGCACACGTCTTCTTCAGGTTTTCCTCTGTGGCCAATTTGAATACATATTCTCACCAGAACCTAAGCTTCACCAATGTCTATCTTCCCGGAGTCAGGACCAGGACAGCGATCAGCTCCCGGCTTCTCAGCAAGGTTTGGGGTTAATCTTGACTACTGGAGGGTCAGAGGGTGGAGATTCCTGGTGGAGGCTCCCCAGGAGGCATTTCTGGAGAGACCAGGGCAACATTCTGGTTGTTGGCATCCAGAGAGTGTACATCCTCTTCCCAAGGGCAGGAGGTGCCTTCTATCTCCTGGACGATTGTTCTGGACCTGCTGTCTTACCTGCTTCCCACTAACTTCATCCTCCCGTCCTTTACAGCTACCTTTTTGTCTGTTACCCACATTGAGTCTGGACTGCCAAGCTCCTCTGGGTTCCATCTATTGGCTGTAGACAGGATTAGACACAACCTTCTTTTAGTGGGATCTCTTACCATTCACTGTATTAGCCAGAGTCCTGGTAGGAAAACTAATCCCCTCAGGTAGATCCAGGAGAAAGGTTTTATTAATGGGACTTCTTACAGAACATGCAAGCAGGGCGGTGGGAGCAAATAAGGCAGGTGAGACACCCAGAGACGGGTGACAATGGGAAGCAGTTACCGCCTTAGGACCTCAGGAAAGAGAGGAAGACACAATGCTGACTGAGTCCAGTAAGAGCTGGCAGAATGGAGGGAGCACGTCAAGGGAGTCCTCGTGGTACAATCCACAAGGGTTAGTTTCCTAGGGAACAGAGCAGGCTCTCAAACATATATCCCCTCTTCCCCATCCCGAAGCATTCTGGGTTGGGAAACTTGGCACAAAGTGACTTTGTAATCTTTCCTGGAAGTTCACCTGGAAGTGACCTGATCTCATCGTATGGCCCTGGTGCCTCCTGTGGGGTTCAAACTGATGTTTCTGCATGTGGGGGATGGTAATGCTACTACCTGTACAGTTGTGTTGGTGGAGGATGGGACCAGACCTGTAGGTAAGAGTATGCAATCAAAAATAAATTGGCTTGTCCAAAGAGAGATGTAGCTTTTACCTTTAGATTCTGAGACATAATCTATGTTATGTTTGATAGAAGTATTTTTGTTTCTTGTGGGGACTGAACATACTGGCTCTTGGGATAAGGCAGGTCACACCCAATCGTCCGAAGGTTAAGGACTGACCATTGTCAGAAGACCAACCGTGTAATTGAGAGTGAGGTCCTTGAGTCATCCATGTGAGATGATGTGAAGACTGAAATGAACTACACAGGCAATCCGTCAGGCAATAAATTAATTGGGCCTGTGGACTGAAGCCCCAATAAAACTGAACACTTAATGCTTGGGTGAACTTGCATGGTTGGCAGTGCTCTGTGAGTTATGTCACACACTGATACTTGGAGAATATTGCGTCCCGACCCCTTGGGGAGAGGACAAAAAAGTTTTCACATGTGGATGCCATCCGATTTCTGCTCTATGCTACAGTTCCTTTGGCTGATTATAATAGGTATTTTTCCTTATAATAAGCCATAACCATGAGTATAAAGCCATTCAATGCGTTCTGTGCCTCCTAGTACACTATTGACCATGAAAGTGGTCTGGGAGGTCTTCCAAGTTGCAGTTCATTTCAGAAGTCCTGGAAATTATGCATGCCAACTCTGTCGTTGATTGTAAACTCTTCACAGCGACCTTCATGTTTCTGTGATCTTCCTCCGTAGGTGGCTCTATGTTAATCTCCGCAGTCTGCTGCTTCTTCCTGTTTTTTGGCAACAGTGAGTCTGCAATGATTGGCTGGCAGTGCCTGTTCTGTGGGACCAGCATCGCTGCCTGGAATGCTCTGGATGTGATTACCGTGGAGCTATACCCTACCAATCAGAGGTCAGCTTGTCCTAGGACTTCCCTGGATTACTTGTTTAGTCTTCTTTGCAAAAGAGGCTGTCTACTCACTCAGTCCTTCACTTGTTCGGTCATCTTTGTTTTCCTAGTGCTTGCTGGCATGAGCTACCCATTGGCTGATGAGTTTCCCCTGCAGGAGGGCTGGCCTCGACCTGGCGTGGGGCAGGGAATGGTGTGCTATGGTGGGCCTGGCAAGTGCAAATGACAGTGTACACGATGTGCAGGAGAGAGAGAGGAGTCAGAGGGGAGCACCGGTGAAACTCTACGTGACACCTATTCACAACCTGCAATATGCAGATGACACACTTGGCTGCGGAAAGTGAAGAGAGCTTGAGGCAGTTAATAAGGAAGATCAAAGACAACAGCTTTCCGTGTGGATTATACCCTTCAATGTAAACCAAAACAATGTAAAAGGAAACAGAATTCCTTATAAGTGGACCAATAGGTGATAAGCAGGAAAGGCATGATAAACAGAGAGAAGATTACGGTTGTCGAGAATTTCATTTTACATGGATTTATAATAAACTCTCATGGAAGCAGCATCAAGAAATCAAGAGAAAAAGCCCCCCCCCTCCCCCCTAAATCAATTTTGACTCGTAGTAACCCGGTGGGGCAGGTAAAAGTGCCTCTGGGTGTTTCCAAGACTGGAACTGATAACAGTTGAATGCCCTGTCTTTGTCCCTCAGAGCTACGGGTGGTTTCAAACTGAGAACCATGCAGTTAGCAGCCCAATGCACCACCACTCTGCCCCCAGGGCTCCGTGCGATGCCACCAGCACTCCGGACCTCTTTCAGTTGTTAAAGAGCAGAATGTCATGCTGAGAACTAATGTACATCTTGCCCAAGACATGGTATTCTCAACTGCCTTATATGCACATGCAAGCTGGACGCTGAATAAGGAAAACCAGGGAAGAATGAAGCCATTTTAATTATGGGTATGATGAAGAATATTGAAAGTTCTACCGCTGCCCAAAGAACGAAGTTCTGTCTTAGAAGTAGTGTTAGAACGCTCCTTAGGAGCTAGGATGGTGACATGTACTTTGGACAAGGTAGCAGAAGAGACCAGTCCCTTGAGAAGGACATGCTTGGTCAAGGGTCAGAGAAAAAGAGATGGACAAGATGGATTGACACACTGGTTGCAACAATGGGCTCAAACCTAGGAACAATTGTGGAGATGTCACAGGACGGGGCAGTGTTCCATTTTGGCTTACCTATGCTCACTCTGAGAGGTCTAATTAATGGTGTCACTCAATCTGCTAGAGAGTGGAGAGCAGGCTTGGTATTGAGAGATCGAGTAAAAGGATGAAAGCTAGGTAAATAGAGGGACAGTGGGTGAGAGAAGCAAAGAAAGGGATGAGGGCCAAGGTTATTTTCAGAGAGTGTAACAGGAATGCCCAGTGTTTATTTTTTATTTTGTGTATATTTTTGGAAAGAGACCTAGTTTAAAAACACAGAGTCAGAATCACTACTTTACAGTCATTCTCATGGTAGGCAATTTGTCAATTTTAAGGAGGATGGATCTGTGGTCAAAAAGAACTATGGGATGGGATGGAAAGCAGGTTAAGGAAACTTCAAAGGAACCATTAATGATAGCAACACAATTCAGTGACAGAGTGCAATACTTGGGGCCCTTTTCCAAATCACAAAACTGTTAAGTTATGTAAAAATGAGGAGAGGAGACATTACAACTACTTAAATAGGATGTAAGTTTACATTTAGGAAATATAAGAAAATTAACTGATGGGACTGTTAGAGAAGAGTAAAATGATTTGATAAGATGATCAGTAGTAAAACTAAATACAGGTTTTTGATACATCAAAAAAGTTAAGAGTGTAGCTAAGAATATTTAAATAAGGTAAAAACTATAAAATAAAGAGCAAACAGTTTAATGACAGGAACGAAGCCGATACATGAAGAAAACCATAAAGCTTTCCTAAGGGCTATAAACAAGCAAAATGAGATGCATGTAAAGATCGGCCTTAATTTTACAAAAGAAGATTCACTTTTCTAAACCTTTCAAGTTTTACCATAAATTTAATTGAGCTTATTTAAAATTCTAAGGGATACCTTTCCCCCACCACTGGAAAATTTTAAAAATTCCTCTAATGTGTCCATGTGAACTAATGTATATATTCTAATATTTTCCCAATATATTCTCTTCTAAATCTGTATGCACACATAGGAAGAAAAACTCTTTTTAAAAGATGTGGGATTGAGGATCAGTGACTACAAAATTACAATATGGTATAGTTAAAGACAAACATCAAAAGAATTGTGCTTTGCTTTATTGGACTTTGCAGACACTACATTTTTTACTAATTGAAGATGTGCTGAGCAAGTCTGTTGGTCCGATGTAAACAAACAGTTTGATGGACATATAATTCACATACCATATATACTTCCATAATTCAATCATATTAAAATAGTTGCATACTCATCACTACAATCAATCCTGGCATATTTTCTTCCTTCTTATAGTCATTACTGGCTCTCTACTTCCCTCCAGCGTCCTTTCCCATATCTCTAGTGAGTCATGAATCCAGGTACTGTCTCTATTGTCATACCTACCCTGATTTCATACACGGGAAAACATACCACCACCCCCTCCAGCAAAATAAAGAAAACAAAAAGTCCAACAACAATAACAAACGATAAGAAGCAGGGAATAGTAAAAAACTAGAACAAATTTAAGATGGGTGACAGGGAGGTTAAGTGATCAGATAAAACATTTTAAACATTTAAACATTGTATCTCCTGTAACCTACTTTACAACACCCTGTCTGGTAACAAGGCAGTTCACACCCCTCGACTGTGTCCAGAGGGCATTCATTGGGGGCTTAATCCATGTAGGCAACCTGCATATGGGTTTTGGGCTCCTACTCTTATCCCTATGCAAATAATGCTGACAATTTAAGTTCTGATACTATTCCCTCCTTTGAGTTTTATTATTTATCATCCTTGGATCACACAAGTTGGTGTGCTTCTTCCATGTTGATTTAGTTGACACCTCACTTCGATGTCTGCTTGTTTGAAGACAAGCCTTTAAGACCTCAGACACTATATAAATAAATAAATATATATATGTAGTAGTCAGGCACCATCTACTTTCTTCACCACATTTTGCTGTAGCACATACATCTTCAGTGATCTCTTCGTGAGGATGGGCATTGAACAGGGCCATGTCATAAGAACTAATTGTTCTTATATTGGGGCTAGAACTAAGTGTGAGCCCCATTCACTTATCTATGGTTTATATACATCTCTGGTTCCTTTCAGAAACCTCATTAACGTTTCATGACAGAGCACATCATCCACCTTGGGCATAGGTAGTTCTGTTGATAGTGTTACTAATTTATCCAATGGTATAGAATTTAACACACTTGAGAAAAGGAAGCTATACAAATATAGACTGGCTCTTAACCATATTCCATAAATTGTTCATTTGTAAAGATTAAACTCTTAAATGATTGAGCACTATTTTCTTTTTTTTGGAATTCTTCTATTATTTTAAATTCCATTTTTCTTTTCTTTAAAAAAAAAACATTTTATTAGGGGCTCATACAACTCTTATTGACAAGGGGTGTTGATAATGGGGCATATTTTTCAATAACATTCATTCACAAGGGTAGAAACATGATCAGATAAATGCATGCCATAGTAAAGAAAGGAGGGCATTAAACTAGTGAATATTTGATGGTCTTGGGCCACCTTCCATTGAGCACCCTCGAATCAAGGGATCCAAACCAGAGTGCAGAGGTCACCAACGCCAAAGCCTTGGTGTGTCAATCATCGATTTTTTCTCACACCAGGGATTTTCAGTCTTAAATTCAAGGGATACAGGTGAGTTTGAGGAAAACCAGTTCATTTAGTGGGGCTTTTACATCAAGTAAAGTTACATTTTAATAAACCCTTGGTATGAAAAAGAAACATTTTCCTTCAGTCGTGGAGAGCAAGTGTTGCAAAGATTGTCTTTCTCTATGACGATAGAAAAGATGAATGGCTAGTAATGGCTCACAAAAGGAAATTGGACTAAGGAGTAATCATTAGTATTAGTTATCTCATAGGTTACAGAAGCCCCAAATAACTGCACTCTCAAGAGTTAGATATTTGATTTTTCTCTCCTAGTGGTATACATGGGCTATTCGTTGAGCTATTCATCTTAGGGTTAGCTGTTTGAAACCACCAGCTGCTCTGTGGGAGAAAGACGGGGCTTTCTACTTCCGTCAGGAGCTACAGTCTTGGAAACGAACAAGGGCAGCTGTACCCTGTCCTGCGGGGTCGCTCTGCGTCAGAATCGATGGGCTGGCAGTGAGCGAGAACAGAAGTCAGGGGGAAGGCAGCTTAGGGTTTCTGAATTCTCTGTTGCTTTCCTTCTATCGTGCTGTGTTGCTCTCCCTTGAGTGGCCTCAGTTAGAGCCCCAAAATAGGATTGCTGTCTTCCGGGAAGCAAAATGAAAGGAAAAGGATGAAGAAAAGAGCAAAAGGCCCACTCAAAAATCTCTTAACGAAGGTATCTGAGAAGCTTCCACTGGTACTTGGCTATAACTTGGTTACTTAACCTTACTTCACAGCAAGGGGCTATGGGAAATGTAGTCTTCCAGCTGGAGAAATGGTACCTTGCTGTTTCTGCTAGTAGAGGGTGAGGATGCTACTGAAGGCGAGCAAGTCCTGCGTTTCAAACTCCTTCCTGCTTTCCGTGTTGGACAAGAAGCATTCCCAGCAAGACAGAAATGTAAAATGAGATTTGTTGGTGTTGTTTGAAACCAATTTGTTTGTCACAGAAGCATCCAAGTCCTAAAATGAGATACTTGAAAAGAAAAAAATACTTAAAGAAAATGCTGAAAATATTAAGAGTGGTTATGCCCTTCTCTGGTTAGCTTATATAGTTGTTATTTTCCTATGCCTTTCTATGTAATTGTATTTCTTAATTTGATTAAAATGGGCAGTTGTTACTTTTATATTTAGGAAAATAATATTCCTCCACAGTCTTACTGCACATCACTCCCAGCAGGGAAACACAAATCAAAACAGAATACAAAAACAACTAAGTCCTGCTCATCTACTGAGGCCCACTCCTGTCTTTCAGAATGACTCAATTTCCGTTTCTTTTACAGGGCAACAGCTTTTGGCATCCTCAATGGATTGTGCAAGTTTGGTGCCATCCTGGGAAACACCATCTTTTCTTCTTTTGTTGGGATAACCAAAGTGGTACCCATCCTTCTGGCTGCTACTTCCCTGGTAGGAGGTGGCTTGATTGCCCTTCGACTGCCAGAGACTCGGGAGCAGGTCTTGATGTGAACAACCTGAGGAGAAAGGAAAGCTCTACGGGAAGATCTGCGGAACCTTGACTAGAACCCTTAATGGCACCCACGCTTCTTGTCTGTGACTGTCCACAGGGGATCTTCGATAGCCCAGGAGGATAAGCTGAATTTGTCGCCTCTAGTTTAGGACTCATTTCTGCTGTTCATATGTTTATAACTCAGGTGACTGATTTGGGGGTGCCTGAGTCACCCTTAAGATCATAGAACTGTAGGTTCCAGGTCTTCCCAGCCCAAGGTAATCGGAAGAAGGGTAATACTAGTGAATCAGTGCTCTAAGCAAGATGTGTGCGTTTCCCCCAGTAGGGTTCCAAGACTTCATTGCCTTTTAAATGATTCTAAGGGTGGGAAATGCTTTTCCACAAAACTCCTGGGAGCCCAAGGATCTAACATTTTGACTTGGCTGGAGGTTAGAGTTAGCCAATAAATATTGGAGTTGGTATACATGATATTTATATATGTATATACATACACACATTTCATTTAAAAGTCTTATCCATCCTATTTTCCATTTGAAAATTGGCAGAGAAGTATTAAAGATACTCTGGTATAAAGCAACAACAAACATTTGAGCAATATCTATAGAAACCTACTTTCTCCCTGATGTCTGAAGCTTCCCAGGATCATTTTGTAGTGAGTTTTAAAATGATACTGTATTTATTCCTTTTTTTTCCCACTAGTTAAAAGAAAATTAGTAGGATAAGTATTCTCTGAACTAAGTTTGTACATAACAGTACTTGGGGTTAATTTTCAGAAATGGTTTCTGCAAGTGTGGGCCACCTTTTAGCCATATTTGGGGAAGATTGAGTGTTGGATGTGCCAGAAAATTGGGTCTGAATGAAGGAAATGCAAACACAATTTCTGACAGCCATTTAGCTTGCCATCGGGAGGATGCACTTAGCAAACTTATGTTGTACAGTTCATTTAATCTAGGCACGTTTCTTCACATAGGTGTGCTTTTCTCGTGTAAAACTCAAGCTCACGGTTCTCAGTACTAGCATTTGACTTTGCTGCACACCCAGCAGCAGGAAATGTGTCCTGTCACCTCTGGCCGGCTCTTTGCTAAAGAGAACAAGACCCGTGGACAGCGTGGACGTTGTTGGACGGGTGGGACAGTGGAGCCACCATTCTCCAAAGTGTAAATCCTCTCTGTTCGCTGTAGGAGTAAGCCATAATTTGTATTTGTCACAACTGATCAGGTCCTCCGAGTCCCAGGTCCAGGGCTTTTGGATCCGATGTCGTTGGTGTGCAGTGTAGAGTGTCAAGCAAAAACCACAGACCACGCCCATAGCCTCAGAGTCCATGCTGGCACCCAGCAACTCTACAGGGCCGCCATCTTTGCGGAAGCAGCGTGCTAGGCCTTTTTCTCAGAGACAGGCTGGTGGCCTCGAACTGCTGATCTTTAGGCTAGCAATTGGGCGCTTAACCACTGTGCCGCCAGAGCTCTCTCATAGGGAGCGCAAACCCAACTCAAATCAAGCCCACTGCCCGTGAGTTGATTTCAACTCATGGCGATCCAGTTTCCAATCTTGGGGTTTCCAGTCTTTACCCAAGAAGACTGGCACATCCTTCTGCTTATGAAAATCTCTCAGGGTGGGGGGCATGGTGCGGTTGGCAAAAAATGTTACAGGCATGCATAAATTGTGGGAAAACTTGGTAAATACAAACCAATACATAAACATGGCTGCAGGTATTGGAAGAAGAAGGAAAAAACCTTCCAAATGTGTCAACATACTTTATATTTACTATTATACATAAATATACATATGAGGGGCTTTAAAATTTTTCTGGGAAAAGTGGAATTAAGAACTAACAACGTTTTTTTCCATGAACTTTTTAAAGCCTCCTCATGTATTTAAAATGCCATCATGTCATAAGGTTTCAGTGTCTTAAGGACGTTATATAACATAAATGCTATGTCAAAGGTCCATGAAATACAATTATAATATGCTTTCCATATTTTTGCAGTAAAAATACAGTGGCTAGCTTCATAAAATAGAATTGTGTCAATCTAGAATGACCATATCCCTGATACTGTTACTCTTCAATGGGATAATACAAATACAATTCAGTGAGTAGCTACCACTGGAGAAATTTACAACCGAGTTAGAGTTTGTATTTCTAGTCAGGATGAGTCTTGTAAATTCAAAATTTGATTAATTTTGTAGTGCTTTGGCCAAAGTCACACTTGGGTTTTTCCATTTGGTTTCCAAGCTCGAACTTCTCCATTATCTTTATGGCTCTTGAAACCAACTGCCCAACCAACCAAGGGCATATCCGGTTCCATCCATCACTTAGCCCTTTGTGAAGGGTGCAGCCACTCTTAGCAGCCTTTCAGCAAGAAGAATTGTCTAAAAGTGGTACCCGGCCACTTCTTAAATGCTGTCACTCCTGCTGAGATAAATGCTTCTTTAAAAATAGTCCCTGTGGCAGGTCATTGGGAGAATAATGTAGAGCCTTTCTGGCCGTCTAGTTCCTTCTCGGTTCATGTTCCAACGTAAGAAACTCTCTGTGGTATCTGCGTAGGCCTCAAGGAATCACACTCAACTCTACTGAGCAAATCTCTCCTCATTTTGGGATGTGTTTTATGACACTCGGTTTGAGAGCTTTTCTTTTAATAACCTCTACTGTATCGTGCTGCCTTTTGATGCTGACTTTTGATCTCTGTTCTTGGAAATAAGCCAAGGACATGGTATGGCTATTTGGCTCAAGGTCAAGGAGCTGGAATCAGGTAGATGTCATTGGGTTTGGGGGTGTGGTAGTCCAAGGTCATGTTGCAATAATATGATTTCCAGAGTTCTCTGGTATCTTGTCTTAGCTTACCAATAATAAAAATAACAAATAATTTAAAGCAGACCTATCTGTGGGAAGTGGGCCTAGAAATTATTTTCAGCCTCTCAGATCTCTTTTGCATTCCTGAATTCACAGAACCAACTGAGAGGAACGTGAGGAATCTACTTTCTTATTTTGTGTCTACAGACACGGAGAGGTAAAGAATGACCAAGGTCGCGTACAGTGCTAGAAGTGAAATGCGCTACAAGGTCTAGGATGATGTGGTCTCCACAGTTCTGGGCTAATTCTGCAGTCAAGGACAGCCTGAAACAGAGTTTCCAAAAGGTCTTGTGAGGGATGGGATAATGTGTTAAATACTTAACCTCCCTTCCTGGAAGCCATTCATTGGAAATTCATTTTGTCGTTTTACCCTGACTGAGAGGGTCAATCTAAATATGGCATAATTAGTATTCATTTATCCATCAGACTCCAAAGTGCCCCTACTGTGTGCCAATCCCTGGGCTAGTCCCTGAAGACACAGTGGTGTGAAAATCTTCCCAGCTCCCTCTGTGGCGTTTCCCACTAGTTACCAAAGTGGATAGGAAATGGGCGATAAAAACAAAGTGCAATGACCTTCTGAAGGGTCACATGCATGCTTTGTTTGTAAGAAGCCTCTTCCTTATTTATATTATGGTTCTGATTCTGGTTCCCGGCTCAGGTGTTTCCTTGCCTACAGGACTGCAGCAGGTCCTTGTGGTTATAACCCAGGTAAGGGAGAGGCCCACGTGCTCCTTGCTCCAGAACTTAACTTAGTCTCCGCTGTGTTGATGCTCTCGGAAGGAAGAGTGGGATCCAGGAACTAAAGCTGGAAATTAGGTACTGGGACAAGGCCCCCAGAGAAACGGATTTCCACTTCCATCTCTGGAGTGCTTTTCTGTAGTGCCCAGGTGGGGAGAATGGCTAAGTGCTGAACTGCTAGCGTACGGATTGGCGTTTTGAGCCGCTGAAGAAAGCCCTGGCAATCTGTTTAAGAAAAGCCAAAGCCTAGGAGGTACCGCAGAGTAGTTCTACGCTGTCACATGATGTGGTGGCGAGTTGGAAGAGACTCGATGGTAACTGGTGTGGCTTTTTAGCCGGGAGAAAGGCATTGCGGGCAAGTGGCTTTGCATACTTGGGCTGCTAGCTTTCCCCTTCCACGTGCATTTCCCCTCTCACAACCTTGGGCTGCTGAGAGCTGGGTAAAGGGTCAGCGCAGCTCAGCGAGCAGTTTGGGAATAAGTCACCTCGACCGAGTGTTTGAACGCGAGGCCTGTGGAAAGCACGTTATGTTTAATGTGCAGAAGCACAGCCTTTGTGACAGCAGTGAGGTTTCCACCGAGATTAATGGCGAAGTGCCGTAGAGAGTTACACTACCCACAAAGGTTAAGTGGAGAAATAAAAGTTGTTACAGTCATTCATTATAGAACAAACATGGGACTTAGTTAGCAGAACCACACCTCACCCTCTGGAATGTTCCACCCTTGAGAGGGGAGTGAGGAGCCCAAGCCATCTCCCTGTAGGACGTCCACTTAAGTGTGCATTCACCTGTGGTCTTTCTGGATGACACGTGTTAACATATCAAAGACTGTAAATACACATTGCTTTAGAAAGCAGACGTCTTTCTGAGGCTGCCCCTTACTACAGGCAAAGTGGTAGGTCAAGAGCTTCCTTTAACATCAGCTATATTGCTACACTTGTGGTGCAGGGCTGGGCAGGGTCCCTGCCAGTTGTACAGAGGGTTCCTATGATTTCTGTGATCTTGGAAATAAGCAAAGGACATGGTATGGCTATTTGGCTCAAGGTCAAGGAGCTGGAATCAGGTAGATGTTACTGGGTTTGGGGGTGTGGTAGCCCAAGACTTGATGGCACCTCAGTAGAACAGCCTCGGGGTCAGGAGAAAGACATTCATAAATCACCTCCTTGACCTCCACTTCTCCCATATGAGGAATGATTTTAGGACTTCCAATTTTTCCAAGTCAACTTATGATCAATTTAGTGGGCATGAACAAAAGCCCTCTTAAAAAAATAAAAGCTCCCAAGAAAATTAGACTTGAAGTTATATTATAAAGCAATTGCTTAAAGCTACTTAGAGAAATTACTACAGCAATCAATGAATGCATTACAAATAATTCTTATTTATGTAAGTGTTTCTCCCAAAGGATAGCAGTTCTATTGACCTCAAAATACTTGCAAGTGATGAAATTATATTTCTTTAAAACGTATGTACAATACTTTTTTTTATTTATTTGGAATTGGTCTTGATGACCCAAGAAAACCCAAGGATACCAAATGTTATCAGTGAGATTGTTTCTGGTGCAATACTAATGAGTTTTGAGAAGTATACTTTTCAGAAACCTGCATTCTATGCTTTTTCACAAAGGAAATGTCCATCTGAAAGACCAGAGCATAGGTAGTACTCAGCTATTGCTGAGCTGTCTGTTAGAATTTAGACTTGTCAGAAGTCAGGCGGGAAAAGGATTCCTTTTAAAAAAGTAATCATTTTATTGGGAACTCTTACAGATATCATAACATGCCATAGTTAATCCCATCAAGTAGTCGTATACAATTGCTACCACAATTAGTTTCAAAACATTTTCTTTCTTCTTGAACTGCTTGATGTCAGCTCCCCTT